TAAATAAATAAAAAATAAAGGGTGGCAGGAGGCATGAAGCTGGAGGAAACTGCCAATGGAAACAGAGACTCTGTTTTAGCACAGGGACAGATGAGGGGAGGGAAGGTCTTACTAGAATCAGAGAGAGCTGGAATGGAGGGTGCAGGGAAGAGGGAAGAGAGACCTCACCTATGACCAAATTCTGGCTGTGGGAGGAGGGCACAAGAGAAGCTATCTATAGCCAGTGGAGATGGACTTGATAGTTGCCAAGAGACAGAATCCAGGCCACAGCAATTGCTGCTGATATTTCTGGTTCTCAAAGCCATACTGATTGGGCACAGTGGCTCACGCCTGTAATCCCAGCGCTTTGGGAGGCTGAGACAGGAGGATCACTTGAGCCAGGAGTTTGAGAGTAGCCTGTGAAACATAACAAGACACTGTTTCCATGAAAAATTTTAAAAAATTAGCCAGCACGATGGCACACACCTGTAGTCCTAGCTACTCTGGAGGCTGAGGTGGGAGGATTGCTTCAGCCCAGGACTTTAAACCTGCAATGAGCTGTGATCAGGCTACTGCACTCCAGCCTGGGTGACAGAGTGAGACCCTATCTTTAAAAAAAAAAAAAAAAGCCACACTATTATGTTTGTACTTAGCCCTAGTCCTACTTTGTCCAGCCTTTTAAATGTTTTTAGTATCTTCTGACCTTTTTAAAGAAAACACAGATTCTTAAAGGAATTAGCATAGGGCTAGGTCTGTCTTCTTAGGGCAGTGTTGAATTCCAGCATCATAGAAGGGACTCAAACACCAATTTGGGTGCCCAGTCGAGGGTCTTCCCAGGCCCAGGTTTTCATGGAAGAATTAGGGCAGAGGCAGAGCAGGGGAGAGAAGGCTCCTACTTGGCTGCAGAGGGATGAAGGAATAGCTGACCCTCTTCTGGGATTCATTCCCAAGCTCTCCTTCATCCCTGCTGCTTCCGCTGCAGTTTTTCTATTGCACAAGACCCCTCCCTTCTCAGTCAGAACATCCAGGTTATGGAAGTGCAGAGCAGATAAAGGTTGCTGTTCTCCTAAACAATGGACAGAAAGAGATAACCCTTCATCATGCCCAGAAAAAAGATACACGAGCAAAGTGAGAGACAGGAAGACTTTTTTAAAAAAATCCTGCTAACTTATCTCAGGCAGAGAAAGACACGGAGGATGACAGAGACAGACATACATAGATTGGGGACAGATAAGAAGAGAGAAGGATTCATTGCATAGAGGAGACAGAGGCAAAGAGAAATTGAGGGCAAGTGAGAGAAAACCCTTGGCAAAAATATTGAGGAAGACAGTCGTAGATGCTAAGAGGGACGAAGATCATAGAATTGGTAAAATGGTCATAAACAAAGAAGACTTGACCAGTGGACAAGAAAAGTAGAAATAAAGGCTGTCAGGAAGGGACCCCAAGGGTGGAAGGCACGGATAGTCTAGACAGGGAAATAGCGAGAGTGAGTGACAAGGACCAACAAGCAGACTCGGGAGAGACGAAGGAAATAGTGGCAGATAGAGAGATTAGCAGAGCATGAGAGGAGAGGGGAGGAAGTAGAAGAGAGGGTAGGAAGTAGAAGCAAGGGGGGTAGTCAGGGGAGCTGGAGCACCGGAGCAGGAGGTGGAGGAGGCGGGCTATGGGAAGAGTCACTGACAGAGCAGCAGGAAATGTGTGGAGTTAGAGACAGGCAGAAAGACAAAGGACAAACAGCTACAGTGCAAAACACAAAGACGGATGCTGACAGTAACCTATAGGCAGAGACTGGTAGGAAGATGAGGACAAGTCAGAATCAGGGACGTCATTTGAGATAGAAGAATAGGCAGAGGGACTGACGAGGAGAATCAGAGAGAAAAAAAGGTGGGGAGGGCAGAACAATTAAACAAATATCCAAGGAAAGGAACAAAGAAAAGGAGGGAACACAGAGATGAAGAGAGAGAGAAAAAGAAATAACAGAGACGTGAGAAAAAAAACGAGGAGGAGGGATTGTGCGAGCTCTCCATCCCAGAGGCATGAAAACGGAGGGGCAAAGGGGAAAATAACAAATGGAGACAGCAGGAAGCTGTGACGGTTGGAAGGAGATGGACACAGGTGGAAAGTAAGAGCAGAGGGTTTACATGTAACAAGACTGAAACGTAAGAGGCGAAGGTATGGATGTTGAGTTGGAGAAAACGTAGTGGAATTTTGTCAATTTGTCCTTCATGGAAGAAGGTGTGTCTTCAAAACTCAACATGCCGTCTTAGCCGAACGCCTTGATGAACAAAAATGTCGTCTGTCTTGAGTTTTCAAAGAAAAAGAAATGTGACAAACCATGTGAGGAATCTATTCCTTAAGTATGTGTTGAGGTCCGAATTCATTCATTCCAAGTCACATGCCATTTCTTTTGCTGCGGTCATAAATTCATGGTTTGAGTGAGTACTCTTTTTAGTACTACTTGATTGTATCTCTGAGGGATGCCCAAGAACTTAACCATTAGGGAAATGTGGCTGTTTCTGTGGGTTTACTAGTAAAACCCACACAGGAAGGGTGAGATTAGCCACGCTTCAGACCTTACCATGGCCCAGGGAAATGTTCCTGCAGATGTACCCCGTGCTGACGCATCTGATGAATTCTTTGTCTTCCAGCACAGGGGAGCAGCTTTCCTGGATGGGGTATACACTGATATTTTATGGTCTTGGAACACTGTCCTGATTATAAGTTTATAAATTGCTATGCAGATAATTGCATCAGTCTCTTACGAGTGTGATTACTTTCAGTGGCATCCTGATTTCCAGTGCCATGCTGGATTGTGCAGACTTTGCCTTGGACAAAATTTTTTGTCACTGACTCCTTTTGCCCTACAAAGCCCTGAATATTCTAACATCCTCTAATATCAAAAAGCAAACCCAACGTATTCAGTCTAAAGGAGTTAGAGCAAGAGAGTGAATTCAAACGGTTTAGAATGATTTTCACTGCCAAGAGTTGAAACCAAAAGAATCCTTTAGCCAAATTAATCCCGAGTTAACAAGAAAATTAAACAGAAGGCTTCCATAACTAAATTGTCAAAACTTTATCACATATAAAATCTGGATTTCATTGGGCTAAAAGTTAGGAGTCCTCATTCTGGAAGAAACTATGTAAGAGAAGTTTCTCTTCAAAGAGGAGTTCCTGTGCTGAAATGAAATGTTTGTTTAGGATCATTAACTTAAAGTCATAACACCCATGGCTGAACATTCGTTGTGCTCCTGCCATGTCAGGCACCTTTTATATGTTATCCCATTTAATCCCACATAACAGAGATTCATGTATTTATTTAATATTTACTTATTTAGTCAGGGTCTCACTTTGAGCAGCTAGGACTGCAGGCAGGCACCACCACACCAAGCTAATTTTTTTTGTTGTTTTTTGTAGACATGGGGTCTCGCTCTGTTGCTCAAGCTGGTTAGAACTCCTGGCCTCAAGTGATCTTCCCACCTTTGCCTTCCAAAGTGCTGGGATTACAGGTGTGAGCCCTTGCACCTGGCCATCTCATCTTTTAGATGAAAAAAATAAGGTTCTGAGAGGTTGAGTAATTTACTCAGGGTAACCTGCCTAGTTAGTGACAGGGCCGAGACTCAAACCCATATTTTTTTTTCTATTATACCTCCTGTGGCTGACATCTGCTATTTTTGCCTGCCTAGCAGAGTAGGGATTTTCCTCTGAAAATCACCCCTCTCTCACTGCACCCGCCATGGGCATGTGACCCTGGCCTAGTCAATCAGAACACATCCTCTTTTGATGAACTGAGCTCATGACATAGGGAGAGACTAGGAGCCTTGGCACCTTGAGTTCTGCTGAAACTTTTGCTAAGATGCGCTCTATGTGTGCTGACCTCGCTAAGCTAGTAGTATGTAAGAGAGTTTCCCTGGGCATGAAGCCAACACAAAGGAAGAGCACTCAAAAGATGGAGAGGGGTTTCTGGCATCATTTGAGTATCTGGAGCAAGCTCCTGGGCCATTTGGTTATTAATACATGAGCTAAAAAAACTCCCAGATTTGTTTGAGTAGATAGGAGTTGAGTTTTCATTGGTAACAGTGAGTCCTGATTAACGCACCACCTTCAAGATTATCCAGGTTGGGCATGGTGGCTGTTCTTGAAATCTCAGCACTTCGGGAGGCTGAGGCAGAAGGATCCCTTGAGCACAGGAGTTTGAGGCTGCTATGAACTATGATTGGGCCACTGCACTCCACCCTAGGAGACAGAGCGAGACTGTCTTTTTATTTTTTTTTTTTTTTTGAGACAGAGTCTCGCTCTATCACTTGGACTAGAGTGCAATGGTGTCAGCCTAGCTCACAGCAGCCTCCAACTCCTGGGCTCAAGTGATCCTCCTACCTCAGCCTCCGGAGTAGCTGGGACTATAGGCA